CCATCTTGCTGGAACCTCTACTTGTCCTTTTGTGATTGACTTATTTCACTCAGCATAATGCACTCCAAGTTGTATGAGGTGTTTTGCAGATTTCTTAATTATTCTTTACTGTTGCTTAGTATTCCCCTGTGTGTATGTACTATAGTTTGTTTATACATTCATCTATTGATGGACACTTAGGTTGTTTCCATCTCTTTGCTATTGTGGATAGTGCTGCAATGACCATAACCAAACCAAAAAAACCAAACTCACTGCCGTTAAGTTGGATCCTACTCATAGTGACCCCTCCTTGGGTTTCCAAGGCAGTATCACTGCGGAAGTAGATTGCCCAATCTTCCTTCCGAGGAGTGGCTGGTGGGTTTGAACTGCCAGCCTTCTGGTTAGCAGTCAAATGCCTTAGGTGCCATGCCACCAGAGCTCCCATGGATATGCATATATCTATTCCTGTCCTGGCTCTCACTTCTTTAGGATATATACTGTGTAGTGAGATTGTTGGATCACATGGTATTTCTATTTCCAACTCTTTAAGGAAGTGCCGGACTGTTTTCCACAGGGGTTGCACCATTTTACAGTCCCACCGGCAGTCCAGTCTCTCTACACCTATAATAATCTCTTGATAAAAGATAAAAGTATAACCTTAAAGTTCAGCTCTGGGTGAGTGATTTTACCAAGGGAAAAACTAAAGTGGTCCATGTTTTTAGCCTTTTAGGAATTTTTGGAAAACACTTAGACTATTTAGGACTACCATGGATAACATTTATGTGCGTGATTTTCCTCAAGCATACCTTCTCTCACCTAGGCCCTTGTTAGGAGCAGCACTGAAAAATTGTCAATGGTATACTCTTTGAGGACAGCTTTGACATTGTGTTATTTCTTGTTATGAGTTGCTGTTAGGTTGATTCTGACTTACGGCAACCCCATGAATGCAGAGTAGAACTGCTCCCTAGGGTTTTAAAGGCTGTGACCTTTCAGAACAGATTACCAGGCCTCTGGGTGGATTCAAACCGCCAACCTTCAACTACTAGTCCAGCATCACTG